GACTAAGATCCAGACCGAAACTCCACTATTGGATCCTTTAGTAACTGTATATATATATATATATAATTTATACTATACAATCATACATATGATTATGCACATTATGTTAATAACATACATGCATACATGCATGCATGCATGCATACATACATGCATACATGCGTTGAAATGTTATTATTGAGTTAGGGCTGTTTGCAGCACAACTCTGTGGGTGCTTTGATACCTAGGCAGGTTGATGCATGCCACACTCGCATGTCAGCTACATTGGTTCAATGAAGACAGACTGATATTCCTTCTGCAACGTGGCAAGAGCTTTTCCAGTGTCCAGCACAACTCTTAAGAAGGACCTGCAGGGCATTTGCAAAGATTCAAGCGCAAGGTGGCTTTGAAACCAAGCTGTCCCATGTCCGGTTGTTTTCAATTGCCCCAGTAGTCCCGGCAGTTTTGATTGCGATCCTCTCAAATTGAAACCCACCCAATTCCTGGGATTTCAGTCTTTGTTTGTGCACGATTGTAATTTACGGTGCGCATTCATACGGAAATGCAAGAAAGGGACTGATGCAATCTGATCATGTGCAAGACTTGCGCCGACTTGACAGGAGTCCCAATGCTGCCGAGACAGTTTGGGCACTGACGTGTCAGGGGCTTAGGCAAAGTTTGTGAGTCACCCATGTCCAGATTCTCACATGACGGAATGAGTCAGCAGGTGTGGGCCTTTGCACTGCAACCTGCCTGGATTGACCGCCAAAGAGCAGGACAGCGCAGTATAGCGGGTGAGATGTTTTCGTCCGCGATTGCTCGTGATGAGCCTTCAGCAGCAAGGACATCAGCTACTTTGACAACATTGTTTGAGTGCCTGAGTGGGGGACATACTGGTTGACAGCGTGCTGTTTCCAAGTACTAGGTATGCTGCCAAGCAGGAACTACACAATCTGTGGATGGCTTGGCATGCGGAACCTCCGTTGCCCGGTGTCAAGTTGCCATGCTTTGCATTGGACAAAACATAGTCTGAGCAGAGAATTGCCTCGGCCTTCATCAGGATGCTCTCGGAATTCGAAGCTTCCAGTTGCCCAGCTCGTGCGTGACTCATCGCCCGCACTGGCTCAAAAGGTGCCATCCCGCATTCCCCTGCACCAAGTTGCGGCTGACCCCCAGCCGCTTTTTCTGAAGCCTGCGCGGCACGCTTGAAGGGGCGCGTGCATGTGCCGCGGGCGCCGGTATTGAATGTTCCTTTCCACAGCACTGCATGCCAGGCCATGGGAAAAGGAACGTTCAGCATTGATCCCTCTTTGGAGGCCTTTTGTAATGCGCGGCATTTGAATGAGGAGAGAGTACTGTTGGGCGTGTCCAGGCCAAGATGCACCAGTACCAGATTGTTGGCCGAGCAGCACCGACCAACAAGAACCCCACTCCAAAGATCTACCGCATGAGGACTGACTTTGACAGGCTTTGCAAGCAAGCTTGGGCAGAGGTTGGCACGCAGTAGGGGCTCACAGCCGAAGGATCTTCGCAAGGAACGTTGTTCTGGCCAAGTCCCGCTTTTGGTACTTCATGAAGAGGCTCAACAAGGTGAGCTCGGGCGAGCGCTTGTGCAGATGCAAGCTGCCAGCAGTTCTTTGGCGGGTTTGGTGATGTCACTGCCTGAATCACAGGCCAAGAAGAGTGGTGGTGAGCTGCTGTCGGTGAACGAGCTTTTCGACACCAGCCCAACAAAGGCATCTTTCACTGAGCTGTGTGCTGTGTGCGTAGTGGAGTGGGTAAGTTTGAGAGTGGGCAGGTGAAGAACTACGGCATTTGGCTTCGATATGACAGCCGCACCAACACCCACAACATGTACAAGGACAATGTCAGCCCTTTAGTCTTTGGTTGTTCGGTTGAGCATGGAAGAAGCAATTTGGGGCCTTGATCAGGTTTAACATCAATCTTCCGGACATTGGCTGTCCAAGCTTTGCATGCCAGCGGGAAAGGAGTTCCGCAACGTGAACATCAATGGAGCGGTCGGGCAGCTGTGCGCCATCCGCCAGCTGAGACGTTTCCAGTGCATTTCTAGCCAGTTTTGGCTGCGCGGAGGTACCAAGAGATGGCAGGACGCCACCGCGCCAGCCCGGGCTCCATCCAGATCATCCATGTGGATGCCTTGGAAGGGCCCACGTTCCTAACGGCTGTCAGCTGCCTCTTTGTGTACCTCATGCTTCAATAATAGCGGAAAAGCGGAGGCCAGGACTTGTGTTTTCCTTCCATCACACAGGCCACCACAGTTGCGGACGAACAGTGCCGCCGCGATCACGTCCTGGACTGCACAAGCAGGGCAATTTTCAGTTTTGGAACATTTTGACACGTTCTTTGCTGCAAGCATCCGGCATCAGCCGCAGTGAGCCGCATCAGCATGCTTGTAGGAGATGCACGACAGCAAGCTCAAGTTCCCGGTTGTCAGGACTCAATGACTCCACGGCTAAGATGATTTATATTTTGTTTCGGTAAATTAAGCAGGGTGAGAAGTGAAATGACTTGACAGGAAGATTCCTATGGCCAAGAAGAAGCTGCGCACCACCTTCAAGGCGCCGTGTCGATGAGCAGATTTCCCAGAGACCATCGCTTGATTTGCTTAGCTGCCTGGCTGGTCCATGGTCCACGCTGTCAGTGAGGTTGCAGGCCTTTCGGCCTTTTTCTGTTTTCTGGGCTGGACAGTAGAAAGCCCTAACGGTGGCTACAGCACTTGGACTGCTGGAAAAAGCGTGCCTGAGAGGCCAAGCGCCCCGCGACCTTTGTGCGATGAGCTGGCAGAAGAGCCTGAAGCTACGGATGCAGCGGGAAAATCATGTGCTCCATCAATTTGGGCCAGAAATTCTTGCAGCATGGCATTTTTTGTGCTCGCATAGTGCATTCTCCGGGAGCAAGCTTCTTGATACGGGCTGACACTCTTCATTTGCACATTTAGGCCTGAGTCCTACGGAGCCGAGCAGCAGACTTGCACAAATTCCAGGAGCCAAGCATAGAACCCAACCCCAAGATTAGACCGGAAGGCATTCAAGAGTAGAGAGAGTAGCCGCCAAAGAAGCACATTTCTTCAGCCGCTTTTTCTGAAGCCTGCGCGGCACGCTTGAAGGGCGCGTGCATGTGCCGCGGGCGCCGCTCTCGAATGTTCCTTTGCACAGCACTGCATGCCAGGCCATGGGAAAAGGAACGTTCAGCATTGATCCCTCTTTGGAGGCCTTTTGTAATGCGCGGCATTTGAATGAGGAGAGAGTACTGTTGGGCGTGTCCAGGCCAAGATGCACCAGTACCAGATTGTTGGCCGAGCAGCACCGACCAACAAGAACCCCACTCCAAAGATCTACCGCATGAGGACTGACTTTGACAGGCTTTGCAAGCAAGCTTGGGCAGAGGTTGGCACGCAGTAGGGGCTCACAGCCGAAGGATCTTCGCAAGGAACGTTGTTCTGGCCAAGTCCCGCTTTTGGTACTTCATGAAGAGGCTCAACAAGGTGAGCTCGGGCGAGCGCTTGTGCAGATGCAAGCTGCCAGCAGTTCTTTGGCGGGTTTGGTGATGTCACTGCCTGAATCACAGGCCAAGAAGAGTGGTGGTGAGCTGCTGTCGGTGAACGAGCTTTTCGACACCAGCCCAACAAAGGCATTTTTCACTGAGCTGTGTGCTGTGTGCGTAGTGGAGTGGGTAAGTTTGAGAGTGGGCAGGTGAAGAACTACGGCATTTGGCTTCGATATGACAGCCGCACAAACACCCACAACATGTACAAGGACAATGTCAGCCCTTTAGTCTTTGGTTGTTCGGTTGAGCATGGAAGAAGCAATTTGGGGCCTTGATCAGGTTTAACATCAATCTTCCGGACATTGGCTGTCCAAGCTTTGCATGCCAGCGGGAAAGGAGTTCCGCAACGTGAACATCAATGGAGCGGTTGGGCAGCTGTGCGCCATCCGCCAGCTGAGACGTTTCCAGTGCATTTCTAGCCAGTTCTGGCTGCGCGGAGGTACCAAGAGATGGCAGGACGCCACCGTGCCAGCCCGGGCTCCATCCAGATCATCCATGTGGATGCCTTGGAAGGGCCCACGTTCCTAACGGCTGTCAGCTGCCTCTTTGTGTACCTCATGCTTCAATAATAGCGGAAAAGCGGAGGCCAGGACTTGTGTTTTCCTTCCATCACACAGGCCACCACAGTTGCGGACGAACAGTGCCGCCGCGATCACGTCCTGGACTGCACAAGCAGGGCAATTTTCAGTTTTGGAACATTTTGACACGTTCTTTGCTGCAAGCATCCGGCATCAGCCGCAGTGAGCCGCATCAGCATGCTTGTAGGAGATGCACGACAGCAAGCTCAAGTTCCCGGTTGTCAGGACTCAATGACTCCACGGCTAAGATGATTTATATTTTGTTTCGGTAAATTAAGCAGGGTGAGAAGTGAAATGACTTGACAGGAAGATTCCTATGGCCAAGAAGAAGCTGCGCACCACCTTCAAGGCGCTGTGTCGATGAGCAGATTTCCCAGAGACCATCGCTTGATTTGCTTAGCTGCCTGGCTGGTCCATGGTCCACGCTGTCAGTGAGGTTGCAGGCCTTTCGGCCTTTTTCTGTTTTCTGGGCTGGACAGTAGAAAAGCCCTAACGGTGGCTACAGCACTTGAAGCGGCTGGTTGGACTGCTGGAAAAAGCGTGCCTGAGAGGCCAAGCGCCCCGCGACCTTTGTGCGATGAGCTGGCAGAAGAGCCTGAAGCTACGGATGCAGCGGGAAAATCATGTGCTCCATCAATTTGGGCCAGAAATTCTTGCAGCATGGCATTTTTTGTGCTCGCATAGTGCATTCTCCGGGAACAAGCTTCTTGATACGGGCTGACACTCTTCATTTGCACATTTAGGCCTGAGTCCTACGGAGCCGAGCAGCAGACTTGCACAAATTCCAGGAGCCAAGCATAGAACCCCACCTTGAAACCTTTGGCAACGCAGCACGCCAAGACCCTTGCCCGCTTCTCAAATGACAGGCATTGCTTAGTTCAATGTGATTGCTGCCTCTTCCGTTGGCCATGAGACTGGCGCAGCTTTGGTTGGAACATGAAGGACGTTGGTGTGAATATGTGATAGCATTTGCGTCTCAGCTGGCGTAGGCTCTTGTTCCAGTCGCACTGCCTCTGCTCTTCACCATTTGCGTTCCTTGCCGGCTGGGGCCCATGCAGGGTTGGTTGCTTCATTTTCGTTGCAAACTTGTGGAAGGTGTCCTTTCAGGCGGACCCAGGAGCACATGCCGTGTTGACTGCACGCCAACATCGGCATGTATGAGTAAAGGGCACAGATAGCACACAGCCTTGGAACCCTTGTCACAGGAGTGAACTATCACCCAAGTGCGGGTGGCTATTGGGACGAAAACGGTCAGTGGGTAGCGGAGGCCTGGCCCGAGTTTCGCGACTCCGGCTCGCCTTTTGATTGCAGGCAGAGAAAGAAGCGCAGGCGGCTTGACCACTAGCAGTCCCTATCGCTGTTTCGCATGGGCAATGCGCGCTGTTCGGTCCATCACTTCAGGCTGATGCGGCCTCGGAGGCTGAGAATACCCGCCATGCAGGGTCCTCGAACACAGCTAGAGGTGAGACTGCCAGCTGTAGGAACTAGAATCCAGTTGCCAGAATTATTTGAGTCATGTTTAGGCTCGATGAATTCAGAATGATGACATTCTGGCTGAACATGTTGCGAAGCAGCCAACGCTCTGGGCACAAGGAGATGGCTATGGACGATCCAGCCTCTGTTGTAGAAATTGCCAGCACGAAGGCCTGGCTTCCCAGGTTCCGTCCATGGGTGTTCTTTGTGGCTGACATTGCCAGGCTGGGAAGGCCATCGAACGTGCCGAAAACAATGCGGCTGATGCCCAGGCGGGTCGTCTCACCATTGGGCGGCCGGCAGCATTTTTCAAGGTCAGCTTCTCATGTTCAGGTGCTGCACATGCGTCTTCGCAGCCAGAAGGCAACCAACCTGGTGCGGAGCGTTCGGCAGTCGTTGGGAGACCTCATGAGGCGGCGTCACACCTCGAAGCTGAAGCAAGAGCTGGCCAAGCTCGATCAGCACTGGCAGACGTTAAAGCAATGCGAGTCCAAGAGCTCGGGGAAATGCCGCGAGTTGACTCGCCAAGCTTTGCATGGACTTGCTCATGATGCTGGCAGTGCAGCGCGGACAGCGGGGCATTTGACAACCCTTGGACGTGTTGCAAAGAGGAGAACCTTTCCCATCCTTGACCTCCTGCGCATGGGCATTGGTCCAGCCCCGGATCAATTGGACGCACTGGATCCCCCGACTCCTCCAGACTTTGTTCCAGCACCAGGCCCCCCCTATGGGACTGCTGCAGGCTGTGACTGTGCCCCACACTCGCACTGCGCAGGGCGTGGTCGTGAGTTCCCCTGGTGCAAGGTGAATCGAACGGAGCCCTGCCCATTGCTGGCGCAGCCATCGTTTATTGATGCATCAGGTGCTGATCACCGTGTTGCGGGATCTGGCCAACCACCAGCAGTCTGGGATTACTGCGGCCCACCCAAGCCGAACTCAGAAACTGTCCATGCCGGCGGGCATTGCGAAGCAAGACATGACATTGTGGCAAAGTACCACGATGACAAGGAGTTTTGGGACAAGGATGGCACCTTCAACTGGAATCGGGTACCGAGGAAGGACCGGATGACCTTGGAGGCCATGGTGGCTCCCATTGAAGGTGAAGGTCTTTGTGTGCGCACTCCATCCAGTGGTGCCCACCACGTGTGTCCCACTGCACAAGACGATTTGGACGAAGCAAATCCAGAGGGAACAGAGTGGTCCCGTACACGCACTTGGGACTTTTGCGCAGGGTCCTCAGTGCTGCATCGCAGCACCCCCGCCTAGGTTTGCTCGGCGAATAGCAACTGCCTTGCAGGGTCCAAGTTGTTTGCCAAATTTAGGACAACCCAAACTTGTGTGGTCGACAACGCCAAGTTGCACAGTCGATGACTTTCCCATCTTGAAGTGTTTGAGTTGTTGCCTTGGTTTGCTGCAGGTTCCAGTGGCACCGCCTGATAAGCTCAAGGTATTGGAAGAGCTTGCCCAAGAGAAGCAGGCCGTGTTGCAGCCTGTCAAGCAGTTGCCTTATGGATGGTGTGCTCGTCTTGAGAAGGCTGCGGCTGAGCAGGGAGTTGAAATTCAGGCAGGCACGTATGCGCCAGCTTGGAATCAACGGTTCTTACACGGCACCTTCTGTGGTGGCCATGCTTCCAGGAGGAGGAGAAGTTTCGGAAGCCCTTTGAGAAGGCATGGATGATTTTACGACGTATTTTCAAAGCACTTTTGAGTCAGTTGTCTAAAAATTGACCGCTTCATCCCTGTTGCCAGGATCCAGCCGCAGAAAACAAGGACTTGTCGGCTGCTTGCCGGACTTCTGTGGTGTGACAAGTGGCTAGGACATGGCCCTCCAGCAACAGGGACATGATCAGCAAGGCTATGACCAAGGCAATGGCGCAGGCTATGACCAAGGAGGCTATGGCAATGGCGCAGGTTATGGCCAAGGAGGCTATGGCGCAATGCAACAAGGCGCTGGCTTGAGCGAGAGCTTGCAGAATCTGCAACAAAATCCGGAAAGGCATGGGTCATTTTGGTGCTTTTATGGCACAATGTGTGCAGCCCTGAGAAATTCTGCAGCACACCGCTTGAACATTCTTGCTTTGAACTTGAGGATCCGCCTGCTTCGGAACGAACGCGCAGATTACAGGCAACTTGCTTGAAATGGACACGCACACACACAATCTTGCATGTGGGCTGTGTGCGATATTCAATCAATTTATGGGAATGGACAATCTTCACCGGCTGAGGATTTCCTTTGATCATTCCAAAAAAACCAATTCAAGTATTTGATTATGAATATATTTTAGAATCTCCGATTTAGTCCACTGATATTTGATTATGTAGGAAGGTCTTTACAAAGATTTTATTTATTGGATATATAAAGAAAATTATTATATAGAATTTGTTTTGATTTTTTTATATTTATTTTAATTTATTTTTATGTTTAATTTTAATAATAGTATTTTTTTATAAATTGGTATGGTTTTGAGGGCGTATTTATTATGTACTGATAAATTGTTATAACGATAAATGATAGTGTTTGTTGTAAATGATTATTTTTATTATATTGTATTTTTTTTGGTATGGCTTCGAGGTGTTATATTTTGTGTATATTGATATGTTGTTAGATAAATTATTGTGTTTGTGGTAAATATTTTCTTTTTTTATATTGTTTTATTATATTTAGGATAAGGAATAATTTGCATAGGTTTTTTTGGGATATTGATTTTAAACCTGGAGGTATTTTTGATAAATCATTGTATTAAATTGTTTTGTTATGGATTTTGTTTTTTTATATTCGATAGGAAGGAATTTTTAGACTATTTTTATATTATATTTTTATTTAATATTTTATTAATGGATTTTGCTGAGTGTTTATTAGATCGATTTATTCTGGATCTTGAATTCGATAAACAAGAAATGAATTGACTTTTGATTAGGATCTTAACTCCGCATCTTTATTTTGTGAAATATAAATTAGGTATTACCCGAACAAATTCCCTTAATTGAAGGAAAGGGGTTGTCCTATTGCAATATGGTATAAGAAATATCTTTTAGGATATGATTTTATTTGATATATGGTGGAATTTAGATTTTATGTTGATGCTTTTGTGTTTTGAGTGTATTTTGTTCGGAAAGGATGATATTTTTATGTTGTTTTGGGTTATGAATAATTATTTTCGTTTATTCCTCCGTCGGTTTTTTTTTTGGAAGGGATTTGGTTTTTGTTAATAAAATTAATATTTGAATTCATTTACTTTGATGATGATGGATGACTGTGCCAAGCAAATTGAATGAGGATTTGCCAACGCCTGCTTAAATATGAGCAGCAATTGTCTGGTTCTGATGAGTGATGGAGCAACTTGAGGTTGATGAGCAGTCCGTGCCTGCTTATATAGACGGATAAGGCTCTTAACGCAACATTTATTAAGCAATTATAAATCCTAAGCTACTCGAAAACCATACTTAAATTCACACCGTATTCATGGTCGTAAGCTCGTGAGTATAGAGGGTATAGAGGGTGGGGATTGCTCGAAACGAAATTATTTTTTATCTTTTATTTTTCCTTCTCTCTCTACTTTTTTTTTTTTTTTTTTTTTTTTTTTTCATTTTTTTTTCCTTCCTCTTTGAATATGTCCCTTGATGGAATTAACGGGTTCTTTTTAATATTATATATATATATTATATATAGCTTATATATATAACTTATGTATATATAATTTATATATATATATATAATTTATTTATATATATATTTTTAAAATTATATTATGTTTTAAATACGATTTATAATAGATTCGTATATAAAATGGTTTTGTTGGTGAATTTTTACGAAATTTGTTTTTGTTGTTTTGAATTTTTATTATTGATTGAATTGAAATTGTTGGAATATTTCGTATTGGATATATGTTGATATATATATAGGAATTTATATATATATATCTATGAGATTTTGTTGATTTCATTATATAACTTTTAGAATTATTGAAATTGGATATTTTTATTCTTGACCGAAAAAATAAATTATATTGGATATATATTATTTAAATATTATAATTATCATAAAATTTATATATTATTATGATTAAATCTTACATACCAAATATATATTTGGTAAATATCGAAATAAAAAGATAATACTATTATAATCCTATTAATACCCGAAAAACATCATTTTTTTGTCACAATTTTATTCCTCCATTTTTTACTTATATATATGTTTTCATTTGTTTTCTTCTTCTTCCTTATACAAATATAATTATTTATATATATATATCAATTATAATATAATCTTTATATTTATATAAATTATTTATTATATATATATAATAAATTAATATACTAATTATATTATATATATACAATTAAAAACTATTTTTATAAATTACAGAATATTTTTTATTAATATATTAGAATATATATATATAATTTAAATCTTCAATACAATTTATTATTCTTAATAATAATTGATTTCAAATATATTATTAATTAATATGCAAATATTTATATAAATAATATATATATATATATTAATAAATAATAAAATCAATATCATAAATATCTAATATATATATATATATATTTGATGACGATGATGAAGACGATGACTATGATAATAATTATCATGAAGATTATAAGGATAATAATTTTTATGATAATTATTATCGTAGCATCCTCTGCATTACCAAAGCTGCGGATGACTATTATAATCACTATCATCGTAGTATCCTCTGCATTACCAAGGATGCCTAACGCCACATTTGAAATGTAGAAAAAAGAAAGATAGAAGAAAGAGATAATAATGATGATCATGATGACAATGATGAAGGCGATGACTATAATGACAATCATCATGAAGATGATAAGGATGATAACTCTTATGATAATTATCATCGTAGTATCTTCTATATTACCAAAGGTTCCTAACGCCACATTTGAAATATGAAATTATTATTGTATTATTTTGTTTACTCAGGCAAGTTAAAAATGTGTATTTGTTATCATAATTTCATATGATTTCATTGAGGGATTTGCTCAAGCTGTCATGATAACTATCATCGTAGTATCCTCTACATTACCAAGGATACCTAATGCCATAATTGAAATATATATACAAAAAAGATAGAGATAATGATGATGATAACACTCATAATAACGATGATGCAGGCGATGACTATAATAACAATCATTATAAAGATGATAAGGATAATGACTCTTATAATAACTATCATCGTAACATCCTCTATATTACCAGAACTGCGAATGACTGTCATAATAACTATCATCGTAGTATCCTCTGCATTACCAAGAATGCCTAACGTCACATTTAATATGTCTATAGAAGAAAGATAGAAGAATAGAAGAAGAGATGATGATGATGATGATGATGATGATGATAATGATAACAAGCATGATGACGATGATGACGGCGATAACTACGATAACAATCATCATAAAAATAATAAAGATGATAATTCTTATAACAATTATCATCGTAACATCCTCTGCATTACCAAACCTGTGGACAACTATCATAATAACTATCATCATAACATCCTCTGCATTACCAAGGATACATTTCAAATATATTATGAAGATAATAAAAATAATGATTTTTATATCATCGTAGCATCCTCTGTATTACCAAAGCTGTGGATGACTGTCATAATAACTATCATCATAGCATCCTCTATTATCAAGGATGCCTAATACCGCGGTTGAAATGATAGAAGAATATCATGACGATGATGAAGGCGACAATCATCATGAAGATGATGAGGATAATAACTCTTATAATAATTATTATCGTAACATTTTTTGCATTACCAAAGCTACGGATAACTGTCATAATCACTTTCATCGTAACATCCTCTACATTGCCAAGGGTGCCTAACGATAATCATAATTATGCATCACTATCGAAACGGCACCTCGCCTCAGATGCCATTTATGTCATTGAGATTTGGAGTCCTGCCTTAATGATAATCATCATTATGCATCATTCGCAGCATCTCTGGCAATCATAAGGATAATCATCACTATGCATCCCCAGCATCTCCAGCAGCGATGATCATAATCATGACTATGCATCACTGTCGAAACGGCACCTCGTCTCAGATGCCATTTGGGTGAAAAAGAAACCAAAGAAACCAAAACCAAGGGCACTGTTTTTAGCTGCTCGAAAACCACAACTAAATCCAGGGATCGGCGGCATTAGGCGGCAGCCCTTCAATCCGGCCACTAGACGTGATCGGGCCGCAGGCCAAGCCCGCAGGGCTTACCTTCAGGTATAAGGCTGTACGTCCCATGCCGCCGATCATGCGCAGAACATGCTCCGACCATGCGCATACGTTTCGTGCTGGATCCTCCCTTATAAAGGGCGAAGGATTTGCGGATTCGTTTAAACGATTTTTGTAGCATCTCCTCGCAGCGCCCAAAAACAAGTGCAAAAACGAGTCTTTTAGGGGATGCCGACTACTAGGGAATGCCCCCAATATTGCCAGCATCATCCCTAATAATGCGGACAAGGATGATGCGGATGATGTTATGCATGCTAGCGATGCGAAACAAGGGGCTAACAATTGCAAAGCGCGAAGGGGAAGTGGAAGGAAGCAGGCGTGACTAGAAGTTCACGAAATAGAAATCAAAGGAATTGTACGAATTTAAGGGGGGCATTCGAGAAAAGCCAAAATGCAAGCAAATGCACGATCAAAACGCAAAGGGAATCGAAGAAAAAAAACAAGAAATTATGGAAAAAGGATTAAAATCAAGGAAGCTAACAAAAATAAAAGGGAAGACTACGATTAATACGGCAAAACTATCGAAGATACAGGAAAAATACGGAAAAGAAATGAAATTCAAATTTCGGAAATTAATCGGAATTAACGAAAAAAGAAGTAGCAAAACAGACAAATCAAAATGCCCGGTGGCCGGCTATATCGTATCAATGTGTAAATAATCTTCAAAAATACCACAAACAACGTATATAAATACGACGAACAAATTTCATAATTTCATTTTATAAAATATAAATAATTATTTAATTAAATTTATTTGATTTTTATATTTATTTCAATTTAATAATTTAAACAAATCCTTTATATAATAATCAAATATTATATTATTTTTATTTTTTAATATCCAATCTCGATATAATGTATCCATTCCCCTTCTTTTTCCAATAACATTTTCGCAAAATAATTAGTTTTAGTTATAAAATAATTTTTCGAGATTTTGAATATTTAAAAAATATCTTTTATTTTTCATGTTTAAATTCTGATTTCATGATAATGTAAGCACACTTATATGGACATCGTACATAGATCTCCGGATGCATTTGCCTAAAACTCATGATGAAGAACCAGCAACACCTGAACAATCAACACAGTTCAGGGCATCTCCGACGAACGTCGCACAATTGCATCAATCCATTGCAAGGTGCGCATTGTCTATGCCCAGTTGTGTCTTACCAAGTCTGATTTCAGAATCTCGTTTCTCTGTAGTTGCTCGGGTTCCATATCAGTCCGTCTGCATACTGCGTACGCTAACTCCTGCTTCTACCTGAAGGGCTGGGTATGCTCTGTGGAAAGCACGCGCATGCAAACCGTTTGCAAACCACTCATGCACTTGCTGCTGCTCTACTGAAAGTACGTGGCATAGAATGACCATGTGTGCGATACAAGCAAGCAAAAAAAAACAAAAAAAACAACAAAAAAAACATGGCAGCTGCTGGGGTCTGAGGGGGCTGCTGGGACTTCGCTTTCGCTTGGGGGCACTTCTGCTGCGACCTGCAACTTCTGCATCCGGGCAGCGTATTTTGAGGCATTTGGGAAGGAAGAACACCACATGAGTGTCAGGCTTCCCCTCCGTGATGGCTTTCGGCTATCTCCTGAGAGATTTTGTAGATTTTGTACATGTCTGTGCCCTTTACGTGCTTCTCTTGCAAACAAATCAGCTTGGATTCTCAGGCGCTGTCTCCGCTCTTTGCGGCGAGCTACAGGGCTACCTTGCTTCGCACTGCACAGTGGCACGCTCCACTGTGAAACAGGCACCTGAAAATCATCTACGAACCATCAAATGAGATTGGCACTGTAGCGTTTCTTGAAGCTGTGAGACCTGCTCCTTCCTTGCAACAATGTGCTGGTGCGCACGCTTGGCACTCGCTATGTTTGGTCTGCTCCGGGGTCGGTGCGCCGGCGTGCGCTTCGACTCCTGTAAGTACAGCTGGTGCAGCGCTGGATGTTGGGCAAGACTTGATTTTGGGCAAAAGTGCGTTCAAGCGCCTGCTTCTAGGCTTCATTCTCTCTGCTGCCTCGCTAGGCCGCGTCGAAACAAGTGTGCTTGCAAAGCATGTCAAAGACGGAGTCAACGGCTGGGGTGTGTAGCCTTCTCCACGTCTTTGCGGTAGCGAACATTCTCGCGCTCTGTCTGCGTCGTCATCAGCACCTGCGTTGCACGCTGCGCACTGCATGCCCTAAATCAAAGTATCTAGCGCCCGAAGGTAAGTTTACGTCGTTTGAACGGCTGCCCTCGGGTGTGCCGCCTGTCCTGCCTTCTTGAAGTTTTCATTTGGATCAACTTGTGGCCGGTAGGTCGGCTTAGGCCTGAGTGGCGCATTTTTCTAACCCAGAGAGGGATAAAAAAACAACAAAACAAAAAACCACCGCAGGTAGAAGCCTGAGGCAGGCGCCCAGCTTTGCTGACCGTGATGGTTTGTCCATCCAGCGTCTTGCCATCCATGGCCCTGGGTGCTGGAGCCAAGCATCGCAGGCCAAGCGCTGGCTGAGCCGAGGGCTCCATGGCATCCTGGGCGTCCGCCTTGTCGGAAAACGCCTGGAGGTGATACACATGAATGCAGTGAATGCCACACCGGATCAGAAGTCCGGTGTTGAGCTGGAGGTCACGCCCAGGCAACTATGACAATTGGCTTTTGTGGAATCCGTGCAGCCTTTCTCACTAAACATCCACTTTGTTGGCAACGAGTTGCGTGCAACATCGGCTCTCGAAACGTTTTCGCCAGCTTCAATGGGTGCGTGTTTTTTGGGTCTCGGCCAGTAAAATGTTAGATGTTTCTCCATTTTCTCGCAAAATTGACCTATTTTACACTAGCCCGTCAACATCCCCAGCATCGTTTTCAACATCCTCAGCATTGTTTTCAACCCCGCATGTTCGACCAACATCCCCAGCCTCACCAACAAATCGTGGGTAAGACAAATCTAGAGAAGTTGGCGGGTTGACGGGGTCGAAGAACTGATGATTCAAATAGGAGGGCATTTCTTTCCCTGTAAACAAATGTAAAAAGTAGCGCGGGGGTTCGGGGGGCGGTAGCCCTTCCCCATGATGTTTGAAGAAGAGATGTTTCACAAAGGGGTGAATAAATCTTTGCAGAAAGTCTAAAAAGTAGCGGGAGGGTTGAGATGTTCGAAGAAGTGATGATTCAAATAGGGGTGCAACTACATCTCTGTAGAAATCCAAAAAGTAGCGGGGGGGGTTTGGGGGGGGGGGGGGCAGCCCCGCCCATACAGCGTTTTCTCGCAAAATTGGATGCTCGAAAAAGTGATATTCAAATACGGGTGCAATTAAATTTCTGCAAGGAATCTACAAAGTAGCCGGGGGCGTGGGGGGGGGGGGGGCGGCACCCCCCCTTGATGCTTGGAAGAAGTGATGATTCAAATAAGGGCAATTAAATCTCTGTACAAAATCTACAAAGTAGCGGGGGGGTTGGGGGGGGCAGCAGCACCCTGCCCCCCCCAAGATGTTCAAATAAGTGATGATTCAAAGGGGGTGCAATTGGCATTCTGCAAAAGATCTAAAACTAGCGGGGGGGTTGCGGGGGGGGGGGGGGCTCCATGATGTTCGAAAGAGTGATGATTCAAGTACGGGTGCAAAGATTCAAGAAAGGGTGCGATAGAATATAAAAAGCAGCGGGGTTGGAGTGGCTTGCTTCCCTATGATGTTCGAAGAAGTGCATACATACAGACATTCACACATGCAGACATACATAAACATAAATATAAAGAGCACTTGCCGGAGAGGAACTGGTGATGCTGAGGATGCGGGAAGCCGAAGCCAAGAATCAATGAAAGGGTGCAAATGCAAAAAAAGCCCGGAGAGGAACTGGGGATGCAAAGGATGCGAAAAGCCAAAGCCAAAAAGCCACCAAAAGCCGCATACACCAACAAGAAGCCAAAAAGCCAAGAAGCCAAGAAGCTGAAAGGCCAAGAAGCGAAAAGCTAAAATTCAAAAAAGAAAACAAATCCTGAAAAACAATACCCCTCCTTCTTCAATTCCCAGTTGAGCATTCACCGGGTGGTCACAAGAAGCTATAAGAGTGCGATGCGAGCTTGCTTTTTGTTTTGGCATGGCCACGCATCCCTTGAATATTCAAGAAGCTCAAACATGAATGCGGCCAAGAGCATAGACAACATCTGCCGCAAACCAGCTTGGCCCTGCATAGCTTTGAGAACTTGTTGATGAATGCTTCCTGTCACCTTCTGAAACGTGGAGGTTCACTCGGGACCCCCCCGGTTTTGGACCCGCTTCATTGTCATGAAGCCCTTTAACCACCAATGCCCGCAGTAGGCTCAGGAACAGCGAACAAGCACAATGTACATGTGCCTTACAAGTTCAAGTTTGGAACTACAACCTTCCCAGGTCCCTTTGCCTCCAATTCGTACTTCAAAATGCTGAGGCCCAAGCAATGAAGGCCAGGTTGGCTTTCGGGGTCTCAATCTGAAGGATATGCCCTTGCAGCATCTGGCATTTCCAGTTGTGACTGCATATGCAGGCCATCAACGATTCAATCATCCCCGCAATGCTGAAGAAAACATCTTGAGGGCCAAGCCAAATTCTTGGAAGGCGCCTTGTAGAGTAGTCTTCTTCAGGCCCCTGAGTCAAGTCACTGCGGCCTTTTTTTTCGCAATCGGCTCTGCCCTGGGAGCTGCGCTTGCCATGGGTCGCAGACCTCACAGCGCAGCCCAAGACGAGAAGACGAGACTCGCACGGCTCGCAGGCTCTGAGCCGCCCGCACACAAAGGCGGTGCCCCTCGTTGTAGCCACCAGGAAAGCCGCCCTCAGTGCGCTTTGCTGTTTCCGTGTTTCCAACGTGTCTCCCCAACTAGTGCTTCCAATGCTCGCAGTTTGTCCTTTCCAATGTGGTCAGCTTGGAATCAGCATGCTAAGCTGCTTGCGGCCTTTGACATCGCTGAAGCAAGAAACCTGACTTGTGCGACATTCCGCGCAAACACAACCCAGCTGAGACAAAAACCCGCCACAAACTCAGCCGAGCAGCAAACTCCAAGGACAGGATTCGATGCACAATGCGCAAGCTCAGGTTGTTGATGCATTCATGTATGCATACATGCATGCATGTATGATTGTGTGCGCGCGTGTGCGCTGTGGTGCTATGTTTGTTGCTTTGGCTTGCAGGGCAGGCGTCTTGCATCTTCCTGCCCGAGTCCAAACAATTCACTTCTCCAACTGTTTGCTCAATATCATAGAGGGCAGTATTTGTTTGCGCGCTCATGCTCATGCCGTGCCCTGTTTCTGGCTCAACTGTGAGCAGGCTGCAATGGGCTCGCATGTTCCGAGCTTGATGTCTGAGCAGCTGATTTCTGGCCATGAATTGCAAGGAAGGCCACTGCTTTCCTTGGGGGGACGGCCTTGGTAGACTCGGCGCAGCTAAAACATGCTAAAACATGTGTTTCCTTTTTTGTCCTTTCGGTTTTGCATACGGGAGCTTTAGGCGCTTCACCCCGGAGGCGGTTGGCCTTGCCTGTCTGACGGTTCTCGACGTTCCTTGACTCCAGCATCTCGCGCCTTCGACATCTCCGACATCCCTCTTCCAGGAAGACACTGGAGAACACGCCGAGTCCCACCACTTCATCCACGAAGGAACGGCATGATGTCCAGAATGGAAGCTGGCGAGTAGATTCCTTGGCCTACTATCTGCTCCCCTGGCTGTACTACCAAGCCTCGCGAGATGTGTCTTGCCAGCGGGGACAGTTGCTGCCAAATCTCAAGTGGCATTGTCGGTCGGTCAAGCCACCCCAAGGAAGGCATGGCACCAGGTGGAAAATACTCCACGTTTGGAAGCGCACGCAGGCCTTCTGCAAGATTGGGAGTTCCACCATGCCAGCAACGATTATCACGGAAAACTGCTGCTCCTGCCAAACCGGTGCAGTTCAGCGCGAAGCCACAAAGTGCAAAGCCACAGAAACATTTGGAACGCTAGGCCGAGGTCCTGCTTTTACGGGGCACAAGGTGTTGAGCCGCATCCAGTCTGGCTCCTGCAAGGCAAACGGTTGCGGGCGCTATTTGCTGACGTTCGTTCGGCGCCTCGAGCAAGCTGGGAGGGCGTTCTCGCCAGCGATGCGAGCCCGGTACGATACGCATCGCCCCGTTGGTCGCTGTAAGGTTCTGGAGCACGAAGTTGATCTTGGCCCAGGCGAGAAAAACCCGAGCCGGACAAGCCGTACAGGCAGCGCGCATTGTGCTGTGCTGTAGCCGAGATGCTGTCACAGCTGGAGGCACGTCATATTCTGATACTTCTGCTTCCAACTGGCCCCAAATGGCGTCTGGATGAAGGGACTGATACTCCTCAGCTGGAACATGCACCAACACTTTCAGCCACACCTCCAGCTTCCAAGTGCGTCCCAGCAGCAATGGCGCCAGCGAGCACAACATCGCCTCCACACCCTGCTGCAAGGTAGTCAGGAGAACCAAATATGCCCTGCAGCAGTGGAGTTGTGGTGGGCAAATCCACTAAGGCAGCATATGCCTCCAAGTGGAAGTTTGACTTTGTGGCAGAAGAATCTCCCAAGCTGTATCTGTGTGGTAGTTTGCCAGCACCACCTCCGAAACTTCCTTCAGGGTCTACTTCAAAGATCTTGTCCATAATGTAGCTTGACGCGTTCCGTAGTCCATGCAAAAGCTGATCTGGGAGCGCGTCTTCCAGGATGAGAAATCCATTTCGATGAAAAGAAGCGGTGGCGTCAGTCAAATTGTACTCCTTGGCAAGTGATGTGCAAAGCTGTGCGCAATCTCCGGGCGCATAACCTGCCTTTCTAGTGCCAATGGGCACGTCGCATTTCTTGCTCAGTCTGAGGCGCAGGGTCTGCTGCTGAGAAAGTGGGCATGTCTGCCATGCAATTTCTTCTTTCCAGCTGGTTGCGAAGGGCTGAAACGCGATCATCCAAGGGATGCCGAAGCCAGCCTGGCGTGCAAGGCAATGGCTACTGTTACCACTCACGGCATGTCGTGGCTGGTTGGTGCACTGAGGCTGAGGCCCTCCACCCTGGGGTCTCGCTCCTGCAAGTAGTAAGCACCGCATCGTGGCTGCGCGCAAGAGCGTCCTTGAACATGGAGCGCCACGGTCCCGATGCTTCATTGGCCGGAACGCGGGAATTCCACGCCACTTCGGCCGCCCCGGCGAGCAGGACATGCCTGAAACCCTCCCCTCAAACTCAATCATTGAGAAGATTCTTTCGATGAAAGCAACGCATACCTCATCCTTCAGGCCCTCACGTCACACCGCAACAAACCCAGCGTCCCACACCATTCATGGCGAAAGGCTGAGCAGGTCATCCGCACCCACAGTGCATCGGTCACCATGGGTTTCTACAATGTGGAGGTCGTGGAGGTCTGCATGCACCCTTGAGGCACTGAAGCTTGCAAAACAAACTGTCGCTATGTAGCCCAGAGCGCTGCGTGACGATGGTGGCATTGAAGGGCCTATGCTTTCAATCCCACCAGTGCAAGAGAACAGTCTGGATGGAACCATGTCTCTGTCTCAAAAGTCTGGCCCAGCTTGCGCACACGAAAGTCGCCAGTTTCTCCACGCGCATCGGTTGGGTTACAAGATTCAATCCGAAACTCAGCGGTCGAGGTAGACACAGCTGCAACTCGATCCTCAAAAGCAATCATGCTAGGCTCGGCACTCAAATATGGCCACACTTTACACTTATTTCTGACCATGTGCATTTTGCTTAAATTTGACCATTAACTTCCCTTATTTATGACCATGGAATTCACTTACTTGTGACCAGGCGACCATGCAGGAATCCATGACCTGCGGCCGCGCCGCTTCTGCGGCTGGGGTATTTCTGTGGCCTCCTGGGGCTGGGGAGGGGGGGGGGTCGCTGACTGCTTCGGAAACTATGCTTTGTGGAAAGTATGCTTCAAACACCAGGAGAAAGTGCCACGCTGCCATCGCTAGTCAGTTAGGGGTCTATGACCGGGAAGGTGTCGAGCAATGACCGTGAAGGCTGCGGGGAAAGACCGGGAAGGCCTCGAGGAAGGAGCAAAGACTGGGAAGACCCCGGGAGAAGAGAGGGAAGGCGTCCAGGAAGGACGGGAAGGCTGGCTTTGCCATCGAGCATGCAGTGCGTTTGTGACAAGTGCACTGCGCGTATCAGATCTATGCAGACTGCTGGCGGACTGAGCCGAAACCGGAAATGCGACCGCCAAGCCCAGCCAAGGCCCTGGCAGGCTGAGGGAGGAAGGCCCAGGCGGGGCGACTTGCACAAAGCAGATGACGGGCCCTGCTCGCCCGGGCCTTGGCGCGGCGCCTTCCCGGTCCTTCCCCGGCGCCTTCCCGGTCATTGGCCAAGACCTTCCCGGTCTTTCCGCCGCCTTCCGACCGCCTTCCCGGCTGTTGCTCAACGCTTCCCTCGGCGCCTTCCCGGCCTTTTGTCGCAGCCTTCTCGGAGCCTCCCAGTCCTTTCCCGCCCTCTTTGCTAGGGTTTTGTTTTCGGTTTTTCGGTAGGGAGGACTTCGCCATCCCGAGCTTTTGCCAAGGGCATTGTCTGTCGGCTTCCCCCTCAGCAGCCACCAGTGCCTGCCCACCTCGCCCCTTCCCCCTGGCCGGATGCCTGCTACTGTCCACTTGCGCACATTGAGGATCCCGGAAACTGAAAGCAGAGGCGGCTGCCCCTGTGTTCCGCCGGCGCGTGCATCATCCCAGGCTACTCTGCGCCTGCTCTGTGAGCCAAGCACCTTCCCGGCAGCCTGTCTTCCTCCGCATGGCCTCCGAGCAAGCCAAAGTCTGGTCTTGAACGCTCAGCGCCTTGGAAACGCGTAAGTCGAGCCCCGCTGCAGCAAACTCATGGGCATCCTTGGGCTGAAGCGCACAGTGCGCTTGCAGTAGGCACACTGCGTGCTCAGCACCAATCTGCTCTGCTCGGACAGGACCCAAGACCTTGCTGGCTGCGCTTCCCCGGCCTTTGGCCCCGAGAGGTCCCTGCAAGATGCCCGCGTCGGCCTTCTCCCGCCGGCCTGCCGCGGCCCGCGGCCTCGGCGGTCTCGCTTGCTTTTTCCGTGGCCGGAATTCGCCGCCTGGACAAGACCGGGAAGGCGTCAAGGAAGGACCGGGAAGGCGTCGCGCGAAGACCGGGAAGGCCCCGGGAGAAGACCGGGAAGGTGTCGCGCAATGGCCGGGAAGGCTGCGGGAGAAGACAGGCAAGGCGTCGAGGAAGGACCGGGAAGGTGTCGAGCAACGACCGGGAAGGCTGCGAGGAAAGACTGGGAAGGCTGCGGGAAAAAAAAAGAAAGGCGTCGAGGAAGGACCGGGAAGGCGTCGAGCAATGACCGGGCAGGCGTCGAGCAAAGACCGGGAAGGCGTCCAGGAAGAACCGGGAAGGCGTCAAGGGAAGACCGGGAAGGCCCCGGAAGAACGGGAAGGCGTTGAGCAATGACCGGGAAGGCGTCGAGCAAAGACCGGGAAGGCGTCCAGGAAGAACCGGGAAGGCGTCAAGGAAAGACCGGGAAGGCCCCGGAAGAACGGGTGGGCTTGGGCTTGTTCTTACTGCCCGGAGGCCTGCCTCTAGGCCTTGGCGCCGGTTGCGCTTGCTTCATCGGTTTTTAATAGAAAATATTTTTTTAAAAGACCTTCGGGGGATTAGACGTGATCCAAAAACAGCACGAAGGACAACGACGAGCCCCTCAATGACCGGGAAGGCGTCGAGCAATGACCGTGAAGGCTGTGGGGAAAGACCGGGAAGGCTGCGGGGAAAGACCGGCAAGGCGTCGAGGAAGGACCGGGAAGGCGTCGAGCAAAGACCGGGAAGGCCCCGGGAGAAGACCGGGAAGACTCGCGAACACCGGGAAGGGGAAGGTGTCGCGCAATGACCGGGAAGCTCGAGCAAAGACCGGGAAGGCTGCGGGAGAAGACAGGGAAGGCGTCGAGGAAGTCGAGGAAGGACCGGGAAGGCGTCGAGCAAAGATCGGGAAGGTCCCGGGACAAGACCGGGAAGGCGTGGAGCAATGACCGGTGCGGGGAAAGACCGGAAAGGCGTCGAGCAATGACTGGGCAGGCGTCGAGCAAAGACCAAGGCCCCGGGAGAAGACCGGGAAGGCGTCGAGCAATGACAGGGAAGGCGTCGAGCAAAGACCGGGAAGGCCCCGGGAGAAGACCGGGAAGACATCGAACAATGACCGGGAAGGCTGCGGAAAGACCGGGAGGGCTGCGGGGAAGACCAGGAAGGCTGCGGGGAACGACCGGGAAGGTGTCGAGCAATGACCGGGAAGGCTGCGGGGAAAGACCGGGAAGGCTGCGTGAAAAGACCGGGAAGGCGTCGAGCAAAGACCGGGAAGGCCCCGGGAGAAGACAGGGAAGGCGTCCAGGAAGGACCGGGAAGGTGTCAGCCGGGAAGGCCCCGGAGAAGACCGGGAAAGCGTTGAGGAAGGACCGGGAAGGCGTTGAGCAAAGACCGGGCCGGGAAGACCCTGGGACAAGACCGGGAAGGCGTGGAGCAATGACCGGGAAGGCGTCGAGCAAAGACTGGGAAGGCTGCGGGGAAAAACCGGAAAGGCATCGAGCAATGACCGGGCAGGCGTCGAACAAAGACCGGGAAGGCGTCGAGCAAAGACCGGGAAGGCCCCAAGGCAAGACCGGGAAGACATCGAGCAATCACCGGGAAGGCTGCGGGGAAAGACCGGGAGGGCTGCGGGGAAAGACCGGGAAGGCTGTGGGGAAAGACCGGGAAGGTGCCGAGCAATGACCGGGAAGGCCCCGGTCATGGACAGGGAAGCCTGCGGGGAAAGACCGGGAAGGCGTCGAGGAAGGACCGGGAAGGCGTCGAGCAAAGACCGGGAAGGCCCGGGAGAAGACAGGGAAGGCGTCCAGGAAGGACCGGGAACGGCGTCGAGGAAAGACCGGGAAGGCCCCGGGAGCAGACCGGGAAGGCGTCGAGCAATGAGCGGGAAGGCGTCGAGCAATGACCGTGAAGGCTGCGGGGAAAGACCGGGAAGAAGGCTGCGGGGAAAGACCGGAAACGCGTCGAGCAATGACCGGGAAGGCGTCGAGCAGACCGGGAAGGCGTCGAGCAAAGACCGGGAAGGCGTCGAGCAAAGACCGGAAAGGCCCGGAGAAGACCGGGAAGACGTCGAGCAATGACCGGGAAGGCTGCGGGGAAACACTGGGAAGGCTGCGGGGAAAGACCGGGAAGGCGTCGAGGGAAGACCGGGAAGGCCCGGGAGAAGACCGGGAAGGCGTCGAGCAATGACCGTGAAGGCTGCGGGGAAAGACCGGGAAGGCGTCAAGCAAGGACCGGGCAAAGAGCGGGAAGACCGGGAAGCCGTCGAGCAAAGACTGGGAAGGCTGCGGGGAAAGACCGGAAAGGCGTCGAGCAATGACCGGGAAGGCGTCGAGCAAAGACCGGGAAGGCGCCGGGAGAAGACCGGGAAGGCGTCGATCAATGACCGGGAAGGCGTCGAGCAAAGACCGGGAAGGCCCCGGTAGAAGACCGGGAAGACGTCGAGCAATGACCGGGAAGGCTGCGGGGAAACGCCGGGAAGGCTGCGGGGAAAGACCGGGAAGGCTGCGGGGAAAGACCGGGAAGGCGTCGAGCAATGACCTGCGGGGAAAGACCGGGAAGGCTGCGGGGAAAGACCGGGAAGGCGTCGAGGAAGGACCGGGAAGGCGTCGAGCAAAGACCGGGAAGGCCCCGGGAGAAGACAGGGAAGGCGTCCAGGAAGGACCGGGAAGGCGTCGAGGGAAGACCGGGAAGGCCCCGGGAGAAGACCGGGAAGGCGTCGAGCAATCACCGGGAAGGCGTCGAGCAATGACCGTGAAGGCTGCGGGGAAAGACCGGGAATCGAGGAAGGACCCGGGTGTCGAGCACTGACCGGGAAGGCTGCGGGGAAAGACCGGGAAGGCTGGAGGCGTCGAGGAAGGACCGGGAGTCGAGCAAAGACCGGGAAGGCCCCGGGAGAAAACCGGGAAGGCGTCGAGCAATGACCGGGAAGGCGTCGAGCAATGACCGTAATAATGACTGGGAAGGCTGCGGGAAAAGACCGGGAAGGCGTCGAGGAAGGACCGGGAAGGTGTCGAGCAAAGACCGGGAAGGCGTCGAGCAAAGACTGGGAAGGCTGCGGGGAAAGACCGGAAACGCGTCAAGCAATGACCGGGAAGGCGGGAAGGCGTCGAGCAATGACCGGGAAGGCGTCGAGCAAAGACCGGGAAGGCCCCGGGAGAAGACCGGGAAGACGTCGAGCAATGACCGGGAAGGCTGCAAGACCGGGAAGCCTGCGGGGAAAGACCAGGAAGGCGTCGAGCAATGACCGGGAAGTCTGCTGCGGGGAAGGACCGGGAAGGCGTCGAGGAAGGACCGGGAAGGCGTCGAGCAAAGACCGGGAAGGTGTCGGGAGAAGAACGGGAAGGCGTCGAGCAATGACCGTGAAGGCTGCGGGGAAAGACCGGGAAGGCGTCGAGGAATGACCGGGAAGGCGTCGAGCAATGACCGGGAAGGCGGGGAAAGACCGGGAAGGCTGCGCGGGAAGGCGTCGAGGAAGGCGTTGAGCAAAGACCGGGAAGGCCCCGGGAGAAGACAGGGAAGGCGTCCAGGAAGGGCCGGGAAGGCGTCGAGCATCCTTGGGCTGAAGCGCACAGTGCGCTTGCAGTAAGCACACTGCGTGCTCAGCGCCAATCTCCAAAGGCCCTGCTCGGACAGGGCCCAAGACCTTGGCTCCGCAAGGTCCATTGCAGGATGCCCACATCGGCCTTCCCCCACCGGCCTTGGCGGTCTCGCTTGCTTCCCCGCCTGATCTGGGGACCAATCTGTCCCCGGCATCTGGCACTGCTTTGCGAACAGATGACGGGCCCTTCTTGCCCCGGCCTTCCCGGTCCTTCCCCGGCGCCTTCCCAGTCCTTTCCCGCCATCCGGCTCACACTGGTGGCTGCTGAGGGGGAAGCCAACAGACAATGCCCTTGGCAAAAGCTCGGGATGGCGAAGTCCTCCCTACCGAAAAACCGGAAAGGCAAGGCCCTGGCAGAGAGCCGCTTCCCCCCTGGCCGGATGCCTGCTACTGTCCACTTGCGCACATTGAGGATCCCGGAAACTGAAAGCAGAGGCGGCTGCCCCTGTGTTCCGCCGGCGCGTGCATCATCACCCAGGCTACTCTGCCCGTCTGTGAGCCAAGCACCTTCCCGGCAGCCTGTCTTCCTCCGCGTGGCCTCCAAGCAAGCCAAAGTCTGGGCTTGAACGCTCAGCGCCTTGGAAACGCGTAAGCCAAGCCGCTGCAGCAAACTCATGGGCATCCTTGGGCTGAAGAGCACAGTGCGCTTGCAGTAAGCACACTGCGTGCTCAGCACCAATCTCCAAGGCTCTGCTCGGACAGGACCCAAGACCTTGCTGGCTGTGTCTTTGGCCCCGCGAGGTCCCTGCAGGATGCCCGCATTGGCCTTCCCCCGCCGGCCTGCCACTTGGCGGTCTCGCTTGCTTCCCCCGTAGCCGCCTGATCTGGGACGAATCTGCTCCCGGCATCTGGCACTGCTTCGCGACTTGCACAAACAGATGACGGGCCCTTCTCACCCCGGGGCCTTGGCGCGGCGCCTTCCCGGTCCTTCCCTGGCGCCTTTCCGCCGCCGTCTGCGCTGACCGCCTTCCCGGCTGTTGCTCAACGCTTCCCTCGGCGCCCAGGGCCTTGCCTTCACAGTGCGCTTGCAGTAAGCACACTGCGTGCTCAGGACCAATCTCCAAAGTGGGAGGGGCCCAAGACCTGCGCTTGCCCTGGTCAGCTGCCGCGCGAGATCCCTGCAGGATGCCCGCATCAGCCTTCCCCGTCCGGCCTGCCGCGGCCGTGGCGGTCTCGCATGCTTCCCCCGTGGCCGGATTGGCTTTCCGCAGCCTGCAGAAAACAGAGGACGGGCCCTTCTCGCCCCGGCGCCTTGGCGCAGCGCCTTTCCGATCCTTCCCCGTCGCCTTCCCGGTCTTTGGCCAAGACCTTCCCGGTCTTTTCCGGCGCCTTCCCGGTCTGCGCTGACCGCCTTCCTGGCTGTTGCTGAGCTTCCCTCGGTGGGTCTTTTGTCGCAGCCTTCTCGGAGCCTTCCCGGTCCTTTCCCGAGGCCTTTCCGGTCTTTGCTCGACGCCTTGCCGGTCGTTTGCCGGGGCCTTCCCGGTCGTCTTTCCTCGACACCTGCCCGGTCTTTTTGCGGGGCCTTTCCGGTCTTTGCTCGACGCCTTGCCGGTCGTTTGCTGGGGCCTTCCTGGTCTTTCCTCGACACCTTCCCGGTCTTTCCCCGGACCCCCGGTCTTTCCTCGCCGCCTTCCCGGTCCTTCCCCGGCGGCTTCCCGGTCTTTATCCAAGACCTGCCCTGTCTTTTCCAGCGCCCTCCCGGTCTTCGCTGACCGCCTTCCCGGTCGTTGCTGAGCGCCCGCCCAGTCTGAGCCCACCGCTTCCCGGCGGTTGCTCAGCGCCATCCCGGTCTGTGTTCGGCGTTCGGCGCCTTCCCCGGCCTTTTGTCGCAGACCTCTCGGGGACTTCCCGGTCGGCCTATCCGGTCTTCCCTCGGCGCCCGTCCGGTCTGCGCTCGGCGCCTTGCCATTCTTTGGCTGCTGCCTTTGAGCAAGGCACAGTGTGAGCTTCTCGTGCCGTCTTGCTCCAGAGGCTTGGGTTGCTCCCCCTGACAGAGCCCTTACCAAACATCTTCATGCCGACCTCTCACCCGCTGTGTGCAACCTGAACGCATGTGTGCGCACATCTACGCAGCACGGTCACGACTAAGTGGAAACACATGGTCACCAATGAGTAGCATCCTATGTTCAGAAATGAGACGAAACATATGGTCAGATTTGAGTGGAAACTATGGTCAGAAATGAGGCGTGTACCATCATGCTACCCTGTCTAGTTGCGGTCGTACCCTTCAAAATGCCATGTGGTGCATCAACCAATGCCAGCCTGGCAATCCTTTGGAATGTTCACTAGTAGTGCATGAGTTGAGTGAGCATCTGCGCAGGACCCCTTGCTTGATCGGAGTGTCGCCAGGCAAGGCCGCCAAGCCGTTCACTGGGCCATGGAACGGCCTCCTGGTCTCAAGCAACTGCAGGTCGTCGCCAAGCAAGTAGATGTGACCATCCTTGCAAACTCAAGCGGTGGGTAAGTGACAAGCAATTGGCTTGTGCACCAGTCAACCCCAGTATCGGCCAGCTCTTGCGACTGAGGTACCTCCGAACCAACAGCAATGCGACTCCCAACAGTTGCCAAGGAGAGCAGCCTGCCGCTGGCTATCCTAGCTGCTGCAGGCCTTGGGGAAAAGACAGGGACAAGTTGTGCTCTGCCTGGATTGCCAAAAATGCAAGTAAGTCGGACACGGGTCGGCGTGCTCAAAACTATCCATGCAAACTCGGCCGTCATGCCCACAAGAAAGCAACCTGCCGTCTTCAAAACAAAGTGAACTGCGTACGGCAACGCAAACACTCCCATCAATTCTCTGCTGGGAAAACATGTTCCAATGGCCTCTCTTTCCAGCAAGTCAGCTTTGCCACACGTCCGTCATGCAGGCTGGGCTCAGTGATCTGGGATCCTCGTGCCTTGCACCCCATAGAGCAAGCATGTGCACGCCCTCGACAACTTAAGATACCAATCTGCAAGCCGGCTCCTGCTCCAGCCAATCCCGTGGCCGCAATTTTGTGCTGGGCAGCCGCCATCTGTACCGGTACTTTGATGCCCCAGCGGCCACCAAAAACCCAGCGCAAACCTGGGCGTTGGGCACCAAGCTTCAGTGTAGTGTGGACAGCGTGGTGCGAGGCAGGGGCTGAAAGCGCCAGCAGGTCGCCATGCACCTTTTTTTCTCCAAGGTGCAGTTGCATGGCAAGGCTGACAATGCACATGCCTGGCCTCAAGGTCGCCGACGTGTGAACATGTCCTCCACTTCTGCCAGGGAGAATCGCTGTGTGCTGCGAATTGGCTCGGCCTCCAAACCTTGATGAAGTTGCAACCGATGCTAAAAAGCTGGCCGCCATGGAACGCAAGGTCCCGCACCCAGCCAGTGTGCCCTGTGAGGCTGCCAAGCAAGGAGCCTTCCGGTCCAAAAAGGCTCACAGACCGCCTCGCACCCCCACCCACCGCCACGCTCAGGGTTTCAGGCTCCACGGCCACAGAAAACAACGGAGCACCAAGTGCGGGGTCCGTCGATGTCTGACATCGTTTCCATCCAGCATTCTCGCTCGTCTGACGCCACCACTCCACGCCGCCGCTGGCGCCCACCACCAATCCCCGGCCCGGAAACGCTGCAACGGCACGGGGGCCCTGCGCACCTCAGTGCGAGCAGCCACAAGACCCAAGGACCTAGCGCCATTCAGCCGTTTAAGTTGGGAGCATCGGATGGAGTGTGGGACCTTCCGCTGTTGGCAGCTCAGAAACCATGTAGCCACGGGAAGCAGCCTCCATGACATTCTTTAAGCAACCAGTTGAGGGATGCCTGAGCTGTGTCCTAGCCCACTGCAATTCTTCCACATTGCGCAAACTGCCTGCCCCCAAAACTGCAGCTACTCACCACAATGTGATTCCACAGCTATAGAATGCAGATTTGACTGAACCAGGTCAGGCAGATCTAAGACCTGAGGATATGCCACGGGAGAGGCTGCACACGTCTTGCGCGCACTCAGCACCTGTACTTGTGTGTGTGTATGTCAGTGCGTGGTGCTGTCATTTCCATGTCTCACAAGCACCATGACTATCATGACTCAGCACTTTTCTTGACAAAGTGCCTGAGAATAAACGAGGCAGTCGGCTGTAACGGGGTGCCCTGAATTCTCCAGGCCCACCTTTTTGGCTTAAATCCTACAGGCTTGCGCCTTGACATGCAACTCACCCATGGATGCCCAAGATCGCGCAGGCAAAGCAAAACCAAATAGAGCCACGCCCCTCGGCGTCGTTTGGGCATCCTGGGCCTCGCCTCACTTTTGGAGGTAAGCTTTTGGGCAGGCAAGGCTGGAATACCACATGTTGAGGCAATGCGAGTGTGAAGGGTAGCCTTGTGCGGGACACCTGCTGCATCGGTGCAAGAACTTGGGGCCGGCAATGCGGACTTCCAGCTTAAAGAATCCTGCGGGAATGTGGGGCACAGCAAGCCGTCAATGCTCAAGTCAATGCTCAAAATCCCTCTGCAGTTCTTGTGGTAGCATGATGTGGTCGTTGGTGCGGGCAGTATGCACTTGCAGCTTTTATCGTCGAGGTAACAAAGCCAAGGCCGGATAGGCCTGGGGCGATTGCCTATGAATATCTCGTGAACATGATCAACAACTGCCGCTTCAAAGGCAGGCAAAGCACATGCATTGCTGGTAGCGGGCCATGCCCAATTGTATGCCAAGTGCTGTTGAATGACTGGGATCAGCCAATAATTTTTGAAGCGCCAAACGCTTCACTGAAATGCCCCTGGCTTCTTCGTCGGGCTCCTCGGCTATGCAAAGGTCCATTTTTGAGTTGCAACTGGGCTTTTGTGAACGCTTAGGTGTGTGGACGAGGCTCCCCATGCACCCTGCTGAAGTACCACGCGAAGAGCTTGTCAGCAGAGTTGGACCAGCACCCTTGCTACCCTCAGTTTTCGAACGCATATTAGCACCAGTCAAAGACTCATGTTGCTTGCCCTTGCAACATTGGCCATCCTTCATCCAGTCAGCAGCTACACAGCTATGCTCAGGATAAGGCTGGCAAATCATCTGTAGTTTTGAAGGCGGCTGCATCGACTTGCACTGGGCGTCCTTGCAGGCAAAAGCGCAAAGCTGCAAAGTCCATTTCAGAATTCGTCCCTTAGAGCAAGTCCTGACCGCTCACTCATCTGACTGACACAACGCTACCTTGCTTTTCTCTCTCCCTCTCCCTTTGCCAGCTCTCTGTGGTGGCCACTTGACGACTGTCTGCCCACGGCTCCTACGACCACAGAATTCCCTCCTTGGCACATGGCAGCAAGCTTGTTTGAACCTTCACGTGCCACATGCCATCTTGCGCCAAGGCACCTTGTGTGGCTTGCATCATGGGAGCTGTTGCCCAGCTCTTTCTTCTCAATGTGCACACCTTGGAAGGCAGCTACGTTCCCTCGATGTTTCTGCATCTGACTGGCGTTTGTTGTGCGTTACCCTCGTAACAATCTTGTGCACTTTATGGTTGATGGAAAAACGCTACGACTAGAAAAATGAGGTTGGGGGTGGGTTTGTGGGGTGGTCGGGGTTTGGGGGTGGGGCTTGGAAGGTGGTTTTTGAGGGCTGGCTTGCTGTGGGGCTTTTTCTTGGTCAAGGAGTTTCTCTGGTGTTCGGAAATCGCAAAACCATTGCTCCCCCTTGACCTGGCACACGTGCTCAGCTCTTCAGTGCAAAAATAGTTTGGTAAAATGACTGGCTGGCAAACAGGCGCCAGTTTGTTGCTCACGCCTGTGTCCAAAAGGCGCCCGGCCCAAGCAAAGCAGATTGACAGCAACATTTGGGTGCAGCCCAGGCGCCGCCAAGGCAGTCATCAGTACAAGGATGAGGATGGCCATAACTGCAAAGATCACGCCAAATGCAGAGTTTGTCTCTGAAGCATGGGCCAGTTGCATCCTTGCCTTGGGGCATGCAAGTGTGCAAGCCAAGCTGCCCCCCCCCCCCCCGCGCACAGGAATGTGACATTTTCCGTACATTGGCTCCTAGCTGACTGGAGCTGGTTGTGTGTTCGCAGGTGTCCTGCCCTCTCCTGACAGAGTCTTTCTTGAATGTCGCTCCAATACTTAGTATTTCTCTTGCACCTTCCCCGGTAGCACTTGCGGGATTCTGAACGCCTGCCTACGGCTGACCAAATGCCTTTTGGCTCACGCGAGACGCAGCGCCTCCTCAAGCTTCTGCCGGGAGTCCTCAAGGTCCTGGCCACGAGCTCTCGCTGGGACACGAAGCTGCGAGTGCTGAGACGAACTGCGAGTCCTCCAGGACGCCGTCCTTTTCCTCACACGGACTCTCACTCAGCGCCACTTACAGCTACTGTGCTTCCGCAAGCTGTCAGAAGTGGGCCTGCTGAGCATCCTGGACGAGCTTCCGCATATAAGTCAAGTCCTTGCACGTTCTTTCAGCAATCTCAGTTGACTTCCGGAGCACTCATTTCACAAAGCAGGTTGCATGTTGAAGACAAGTCTCGTTGTTCATCACTGCAATTGCAGCGGCAAGGCTTGTAGCATTTGCCTGCGAATCGCAGTTGCTGAATTCTTCACTGGGCGCCTGTGCCATCCCATGTGGTCCGGGGGCGAGAGTGGCATTGGTAGAGCATGAAAACAACGCAGGGGCTCTTGTTGTCCGGCTGCACTTTGTGCTGCTTTTAAGGCTTTACAGGGATCCTTTTGACAACCCCCCCCCCGCACGCAGGCCAAAGCAAGCCCCGCACGTGCCTTCAGCTCGTCGTTCAATTTCTCTTGCTCTTTCACAGCAGCCAAGGCTTCTTTCCTTCTTCGCAGTGAGTGCAGCTCTGCTCAGAAGGTTGTTGAGTGCATCGAAGGCACTCCGCTTGCAGTTGCTGGGCCTGCAACGCAGCCAGTTCGGCCTGGCACCAATGCAACTGCTCCATACAAACTCCTGGGATTCGGCTTGCCTCGGAAGATTCGTTGGCTATGGCTGTCTCCAGCTCTGCACCCTCAATGGGCAAATGACCATCCAAGTTGCAGGCACTGTGAGCCACAAAACGGATGCAGGAATTGCAGCCGAGGCTCTGCAGCTTGGGCTGCGTGCTGCGCTCTTTGGAATGCTTTGTGAGTTGAGTTTCGCCTAAGCTTTGCTGTGCCTCCTCCCTTCCGGCTTGAAATCCCGGCCGCGGCTGTACAAAGTGATCAAAAGCCAAGATGCTGAGCAATCATGTCCTCAATCTGCTTGGAGACCCGGCTCTGTGCATGCAGAATTTCTGACCTCAAGCGACGGCAACAGCCTGTATAGCCTATTGGCCTATGCTTCAAACTTGGCCTCCGGCAACCGCGTCTGAGCTGACTGGTGCTTTGCCAGCACCACTGCCATGTCCTTCTGCGACAAGTTCCTTCGCCCAATTGGTCGCTACAACAAGCTTGACTAGCTTCTGGCTTTCTGCTCAGGTGCTGGATCTGTAAATCCGTAGACGTGTCCGACAGCTCCTCTTGTACCTCCAGCAATTTGAAGTTTTGCTACAGTTTGAAGTTTTGCTGCTGCGCATCTCTTCTCGGAATGCCATGTAAAGCGGCATGAGCATGTGATGCGAATCGTCCGATCCACCAGGGCGTCTTGCCTGCTCCAAGTGCTTCTGGTAGAGCCGTAGCGTGTCAACTATTTCAAAGAACTCCTTGACACGCAGGATCATTTGAGCCGTCTCATGTGTTTGCCTTCAAGAGTCTGCAAAAAACCGTTGTCGAGTCAACTCAAGTGCATGCTTAGTCTCCTCTTCTGATCCCGGGCCATGAACATCTGTGAAGTTCAAAGGGTTCATATCCAGAAACGCATCCAGAGCCAAGTCTGTCAGCCCTGCCACAACAGCTAAGTCTGAAGCAACTGCGCTCAAACAACTCACAGGTATCAGACGTATTGCCTGCCTTGGTTAGAGAGCGCCCCATTCACCACGTTCAAAAGGTCACTCCGAGACTTGTTCTGGAATGCCATCTCTGTTGCAATCGCCCGCTCTGTCGAGGGACCATGTGCTCCTCCTGGGATTGAGATGTTGAAGTAAACCTGGCAAAACGACTGAGAGTTCACATGTTGAACCAGGATTGCCGGCACGTGACTCCCAAACAGCTGGCTGTCTCACCTTGACGGCGGGATAGCTATAGCCGGACAGGTGGTTGTGAGTCTCCACGCGTGGTTCGGTAACAATCTTGGAGTAGGAGGGCTCCGGAACCTCGGTAGGATCCACAGAAAGCGGCGCCACCCATCGTCTTCCATCATTGTGAGTCTTCATCCAAGACTATCGACTTGCCGAGGCAGTCACCATTTGAGAGATAGCGTCGCGCAAGGCAAAATCCACATGTCGCTGCGCAAGGAATTCTTGTGCCTTTGCAACTGTGAGGATCATTACCCCAGACAAAGTGACCTTGGCTACGCGAAAGGGCCACTCACAACCAATGTGTTGACAGCACCCCATACAAACATGCAGCGCGTGTTCAGTGTCTGGCGCTGGGAGCAGCTGTCAGCTTTGCCTTTGGTTCACACGTGGCGACAGCTTTTTGACCGCGTCTGCCATTGCATGTCTCCTTGGTCGCAGTGCCCTCGCAATGCTCAAGGCACATATCGACAGCCGCCTTGAAATGAATTCAGCTAGAATTGCAACCATGCCTCCTGAACCCAGCACTTCTTGATGTTCTGCCTCGGCAACCAGTGGCTCTTTTGCCCAAGGCAGCGAATGTCATGTTGACCTATGATTAATAAATGGGGGGCCCCCCCTGAATGACCATAAATAAAGATTAGGGGATCATTTTCAGGGTCGGGCTTTGTTTAAAGGAGTTTAGTATTGGGCTCTGTTTTTTGGTTTTCGAATACTACTTTAGAATTGGCCGATTCAAAAGTAGTATTGGGCATGTTGTTTTTTCTTATTTTGCTTTGGGGAAATACTAGTTTAGAATTGGGCCAATTCTAAAGTAGCATTGAGCCAAGAACTTTTGCATGCATTTCATGAGGGTTTGCATGGGCTGGAATGCATTCCAGGAGGGATTGAGAAGGAGATTCATGAGCGTTTGCGTGGGCTGGCATGCATTCCAGGAGGGATTGGGAAGGAAATTCATGAGGGTTTGTATGGGCTGGCATGCATTCTAGGAGGGATTGAGAAGGAAATTCATGAGGGTTTGCATGGGCTGGCATGCATTCCAGGAAGGATTGAGAAGGAAATTCATGAGGGTTTGCATGGGCTGGCATGCATTCTAGGAGGGATTGAGAAGGAAATTCATGAGCGTTTGCGTGGGCTGGCATGCATTCTAGGAGGCATTGGGAAGGAAATTCATGAGGGTTTGCATGGGCTGGCATGCATTCTAGGAGGGATTGAGAAGGAGACTCCAAGAGGGACTGAGAAGGACATTCATGAGGGTTTGCATGGGCAGGCATGTATTTTAAGAGGGATTGAGAAGGACATTCATGAGGGTTTGCGTGGGCTGGCATGTATTCCAGGAAGGATTGAGAAGGAAATTCATGAGGGTTTGCATGGGCTGGCATGCATTCTAGGAGGGATTGAGAAGGAATTCATGAGGGCTTGCATGGGCTGGCATGTTTTCCAAGAGGGATTGAGAAGGAAATTCATGAGGGTTTGCATGGGCTGCATGCATTTTAGGAGGGATTGAGAAGGAACTTCATGAGCGTTTGCGTGGGCTGGCATGCATTCCAAGAGGAGTTCCAAAAGGGTTTGCATGGGCCAATTCAAAAGTAGTATTGGGCATGTGTTTCCTATTTTGTTTGGGGTGGATTCTAATTTGGTTTTGGGCCAATTCTAAAGTAGTATTGGGCCAGCAACTTTTGCATGAAGTGCATTAAGTATTGGAATTACATGGGTTGGCATGCGTTTTAGAAAGGAATCAGCATGCCATTCATGAGGGTTTGCATGGGTTAGTGCACATTCCAGGAAAATTCACTATGAAACCATGCAAAGCCCATGGGGGATGATGGTTCGGAGCACTGACCCTGAATAAAGATTAGATGCCAAAAGCACGCAAATCCCATGGTAAATCAGGTTTCCCACTGACCCTGAATAAAACTCTGCATTTTGCATGGATCCCAATGGGAATTCTAGAGTTCTTTTGTGAGCTGGGGAACTGAGGATTGATTCATTTAGGTGAAGGGAAGGTTATTTTTTTTGAATTAGTTTATATTATTTTGTCATCTTTTCATATTTTTTCACCTGGGAAAAAACGGTTAGCATTATTTATTGTATATTTATTATTTCGTTCGGGCAGTCGGTTAGCATTATTTATGGTATATTTGTTAATCGCAGGTCAACATTGGCGGTTCTTGATGGTGCCGCCTGATGGTTTCATGCCTTGCACAGACCGTTTGGCTATCCTCCAGTAAAGGGCAACGGAATGATGTGCCCCACAGCCGCAAAACAAATGCTATTTGCGACAGAGATGCTGTAGGCCGTAGGCGCCGCTGCTGTCGACATGAATCTGACAGCGTGAGACCGGCCTTCCATGCTTGCAAACCCAGCTGCAATTCCTTATCACCGGCAATGCGTCGCAGGAATGCATGCACTCAGAAGCGTTTGGCCTGAAATACTGAGAGCAAAAGAATGCGCCCAAGCAGCTGTGTGATAAAGTCCTTGTGGGCAGCTGAGGCTTGACAAGATGTCATAGATGAGAGCACGGCAAGAGGCTTATGCCTCGACTGGAAGCCGAACTAGCCAACCAAATGCCGGTAGGGACGACTCCATTTGTTCAATCCAAGCTTGAGTTTGGAGGCGCGCAAGCCTTCATCAGCAAGGACAACATCAAACAACTACAACCCCTGTAGCAACATCGATGGTGATGCTGGCCTCAGCCTGTACCGCCGATACAAATATAAATTGAAGACACTTCTTCTTCGCTTGCGCTCTGTTGAGTTCATGCACTCCCATGCGCTCATCGGCTTCATTGGGGAGCCACAAAAAGGGAAAGCAAACTAGATTCTACGACATGTCCTCGCTCAACAAAAAGTGCGCTGCAGGCGGACAAAACACCATCAGCATCACAAACATCGAGACCCTTTCGTGAACATGAATGATTGCATGCATAGTTATGCCCACCAATCATTTTGAGGGGGTTGTCGGAATAGGAATGCGTTTAGGGTTGTAAGGGTTGGCTTAGGGTTGGATTGGGGGTTGGGTTTAGGGTAGGCAGGCTTACTTGAAGCATTGGTTTAGGGTAGGTTTACGATTGGTTGAGTGCTGCCTTAATTGTGTCGGGCTTGGGTTTGGCTTAGGGTTGGTGCAAGGTGGAAGGGCAGAAACCAAAGCCTGAAAGCCAAAGTCTCAAACAAAAAACAATGGCACTCCGAAGAAAACACAAATAACAAACAAACAAACAAACAAACAAACAAACAAACAAACAAACAAACAAACAAAGAAACACACAAACAAACAAACAAACAAACAAACAAACAAACAAACAAACAAACACACAAACAAACACACAAACAAATAAACAAGCAAATAAACATCAACATACATGTATAATTCAAGGCAAATAAACGATAGACACAGAAGACAGCAACACACACACACAGGCTGCATGTACACCGGTAATCATTTCGACGCAGCATCAGGCCAGGGCACCGGTACATATTTGAGCATTCAATCCTGGGCACGCCAATGAAGCGACAAACAACCCAACACATGCAATGTCTTACATGCGCGTTTCCTCCTTGCGTGCTTTCATGTACATTCTACATAACTCTTTCCACGTAGCAGACAAGGAACCTGACTTTGTGGTGTCTGTGAAAGCTGAACCTCACATGTTTGCATCTTTGCGTATGGGGTGCTAAGCAATATTCCCTGAGGGCGGGCTGCAGCGACAAACACGGACAGCCGTCAGTGCATGTACAAAGGCATTCATCGCTAGGATCTTGAGCGCTGGAGTCTGAAGAGCTAGTTACAAGCTACCAGCAAAAAAGTGGAGGAAACAATGGCCAAAGTTGAAACAAGCTAGTCGAAAACGAGTAATTCAAAGTTGCAATCAAGGAATGTCGGCTACCATTGCCAATGCAGTTCAGCCGCTGCGGATTGCAGAAGAACATGTTGCACCGCCGTGTTGCAGGATAAGCGCACCTGGTGACCGGCATCACTCAAAGAGATGAAACCAATTCCTTTCCGAGTGGCAGCTCCTGGGAGATTAGAGCGCTCTTGCTTGTTGAGAAGGTCTCTGCACTGCACTGGCACATGGCTCCGGTCTGTGCTATGCAAATTGAAGGCTTGAGGCGCCAAAGGTCAGTGTCGATCTGCGTCGTGCTCCCGTTCCTCATGTGAACGATGTTGCTTGGTCGACTGGCATGGGGTAAGGTATAGCAAGGCCCAATAGTACGTCACAGAAACACCACGGCCCAAACATTTGCAAACAATATTGAACAACTCCCGCCACACTCAAAGCAAGCCAAAATGCATGGTGGCCGGCTAGGCTTACAAGAAGTTGCTCTGGCCTGTTGTTGTCGCCTATCACTAAAAACGCTGAGATTGCATGACCCTGCAACTATGACATGCCTTATGAAAAACCCTGTAGCTTGTGCCCGTTACGGCAAAAATGCAACACAGAACGACGACGGCTTGGAGAGAAGCCAGGCATCCATGGAATGATCTCGCGGCAAGGTTGCTCATGATACTTGAAGTCCAGCTCATGTAGCTGTGTGTCCCGCGCCCGACATCTCTTGTCGCACGTCCAGCTCCTGGCACAGCCCAACAAGACTCGAATGTTGCACGTCGCAACCTGCTCACAGGTTTGAGCCCTTGGCCCAAGTGTAGGTAGAAGCTCCTGGAGATACAGCTGGAGCACGAACTTTCTCCGGTCCTCAGCTAAAGAGCCAAAGCGAGCAGGATGTAAGCACAGAAATGACGTGGCACACCAAGCATTTTCCAGCCAGTTGGTGTCACATGATCATGGTTCTTGACCTGTCGACCCTTTATCGCCTTTTCGCGTTGCTGAACATGCTGCCGTGCCTCACAGGAGCGCAAGTGGCGCCGAGGAACAGGATCCAGGTCCAGATGGCTGGCGACATGGATTCTGACTGATTGGGGCCAGATCATGTTCTGAATGATTGGGGCATCGTCTCTCTTGCAAGAAAAATAAGCATGTGTGAAATCAGCAATCCCCTGTCAGCCGTCACAGCTGCGCGTTGCAACAGCCTACCACACCCTCTGTGAAATCTTCAATTGGTGCAACCGGCAGAGCCTGAGATGTGGATGCACAGCTCTTTTTCTGCGTCATTGCCCGGTGCTTAGGACTGCGGATGAGGTCCGAAAAAGCACCTGCCAGTGCACTTGCGAATCTGAAGCTTGGCACTGCCAAATGCAACCCCAAAAGTGGGCTGTTAGCGTTGCATGCACATTCACCTGAGGCGTTCCTGCAGCTTGCCGCCGGACCACCAGTGCATGCCGCCTGCAAATTTTTGCTCCAAGGTTAGTGCGAGAGGCTCAAGGCTCCGGCCCCTCCCTCCGAGCCAACGCCACAAGGACCAGCGCCTGCACGGGATTCTTGGGGAGCTAACCTTTGGGTAGCAATAGACTTTTAAAACATATGGAAGCCTGTCAGCGGTTTCGAAACCATACGGCTTTGTTTCAAAAAGTGCTCAGTGTGTGTCACAAAGTACTCGTGTTTCAGAAACACTGAAGCTGGGGCAGTTTCTGGATTCTAAACAGTCGTTTCTAAATTGAAGTTTCCAAAGCAACAGTTGCTCTTGCAAAATGTGATGTGCTCAGTCAAGTGTGCTGATGTCCAGCATATAGCGGCATCTTCACAGCACAGTGCGCAGGCACAGGCAGTTTTTACCCAGAAGGCGGCATCCCTTGAAGTGACTGCACAACTGAGACTGTACAAAGTGAAACTGAAAATCTGTCTCGAGCTTCAAGGCCCTGCAGCGAAGAAGCAGCCTTCTTGCGATGCACGGCAGTGAGTAACTACAGCACGTGGCTTCTATGGATGGCGTGGTACTGGCGAGTGTTCGCAGGTGCTTGCACCGAATTTTTGTCTCACACCCCCGGCAGCTTCCCCTCGTGCTTCCGCTGGCGAATGTTAGCAAGGAGCCTCAAAGCACTCTGGCTTTAAAGTTGCACGTCGCGAAATCATAAAGGCTGCTGATTGGATAGGCTCACACGCTTTGATCCTGATCTTGAGGTTCTCTTTCTGACTGACTGCATGTCCAAGCAGCTGGACAAGCGACTCACCATCCACCTGAAGTGCAATTGCATAGCGACCATGATCCAATAGAGGCTACTTACAGGATAAATGACCCTGGCCTAGCGCGAGGCGAATTGACCCGCACATGCTGAGCACCCACATGAAATGGTGGGGTGCAGCAATGTGAGGACGGAGTGTATTGACAGATTTCTGGGCGACGCTGCAGCTGCCACTACGGCGTTGCAGCACCGAGCCGCAGGCTGAGCCAGAGGTTCAAACTCAGCTTGGAGTTGAAAACTGAGACCCAACGCAAAGAATGGAAAGCGCACCGTTCTGCCCCACCTGATTATCACAATCCGCTGGATGAAGCGACGTCAAAAGGTGTGAAGTCAGCAGAAGGGCTCACTGCAGATTAAACACCCTCTCAGACAGGACCTAGGACCATCTCCTACAAAAGCATTCCCGTGCAGCACGAGCCAGGGGACGGCGAACTGGTTGTAAGACGGTTCGGGACGTCGTTGACAAAAGCAGCATGACTTTTGCTGGCAAGGGATCGGGATGAGTCAGGATGAGTCAGGATGTGTCAGGATGAGTCAGGATAAGTCGGGATAACAGAATCCTGAGAAACTTAACCACTTGCCAAATACTGATCTGGCTGAGCACAAGCAGGCCGAGCGAGACAATGCGGAGAAGAAAGAAGCCTTGTCAGTGCTTGGCCCATGAGTTGAAAGGATGGCTATGACTATGCGCTTCTGCGGCAAAGGAAACTATAAAATCGGCTGGCCGAGTAGAAATGCAATCTAGCCACACCCAGCTGCCGCACAAAGGATTCAGTGCCAATGGTCTCGGAGCCAAGCCTTGGAAACATGCGGTCAAACGGCTCTGACTGAACGGAATCCAGGCTACGAGCTGCGCTTGCAAACGGGCTGCATGTCATCCACCTTCACTGCTTCATGGTCACGGTACAGGAAGAGGTTCCTCAATCGCTGGCTTCCCCATTGGCTGCAGTGCTCACTCTTGCTTGCCAAGCTTCCTAACAAGCACGGCGTGTTGCAAGCCTGGGAACCCGAGCGCCGACCTCTCCAAAACCATGGTCAACACAAACAGCGATCCTGACAGCAATCCGTAGAGCAAAATCATTGTGCACGAAAGTGCCGCCAGTTTCCTCAGGTGGCCACCGCAACAACAACAACAACTGGCCATATCAAAGTAACATGCCCCCAGTCAAGTGGCTGCATTTTGATCCAGGACAAAATGATAATTGCCTTTGCCGCATCGGTCTGTTCGTCACTGCATGTCATTGCATGGCCTGTCCCCACTTTGCAGCATGACTTATTGAGATAGCTGCGTGCCAAGGTGCCAAACAGCAGGACACCAGGCCGCTCCCAAAACACCAGAACACACGATCTCTCCTGAATCATGGCACATGCCAAATTCACCTGCTTTTACGCATCAGTTTAGATGTCATTATCAAGGCGGAATAACAATAATTATTACAACAACAATAATAATAACAATAATACAACAACACCACCAATAAATAATAGAACATTATTCATACCACAACCCCCTGAATTCAAACAAACCCATAGGTCAGCACCAAAGGCCGCAAGGGGATTGCACCGTGCTCTTCCGAGGTGCTGTTGGTGCATGCCATCAGCCGCCTGCCGCACAGAGCCATCAGGTCCTCGCAGGCCAAGGCTGGTGGCAAGGATGTTCACGGCCGCCACGGATCCCAGGCAAGCCTTGCTTCACCCCTTTTGCGACTCGAGTTGGATGTGCAAAGGCTTAGCTTGCCGAGTTGCAAGATGACTTGCAAGGTTGGCAAGGGCAAGTACGTAATACAGCGCGCAAAGCACGGCAGGAACACCGTCTGGAATGTCAATCTTCACCTTTGCTCATCGTTGATTGGACTGGCTTCGTGCAAGTGTGGCTGGACACCATGCACCGTCAGTGGCATGCTGGATCCCAGGCAGCAGCATAACTTTACACTTTCTTGTCGGCAATTGAAGCACAACTTTGACCAGCTTGCCAACAAGTTGCCAGCATGCATATGGCAAAGCCTGCCAACACCGCCGCCTGCGTGGCAACAGCTTCAAAGTTGCTCTTGTTCAGCTCCAACTCCTGCAGATGGTCGGACAGTGATGGAAGGGGTAAACGAGGGCTGAGGGATGAGGGACAGGCTGAGGAGCCCCAGTGAAAATATGCGGTGAGGTTTGTTTGTGTGACAGCCCAGTTGTGGAGCGTTCATCCCGTCCCCGCATGATATGGTCCCCTCCCCCTGGCAATCAGAATGTTGGGGAAAACCCGTTGTCCAAAATAGGGGAGACCCCTGATCGGCCATCGTCGCCCGAAATGGGCTCAGCGTTTTCAGACCAAAAGCCTTTCCAAATTATAGCAAGGCCTTTGAATAGCAGAAGTCATGCCTTTTCCTTGCAAGCAAATCGCTATTTTAGTCTAGCTGACACTTTGTATTGATTCAGACATTTGGGGCTGGCGCGTGTGATTGCCAGGGTTTGGAGAATCATGTTTTGTTTTCGTACTGGCTCAGCGGGTCTGGAGATTTTATGTTTGGCTAAAGTGACTACGTGGCAGCTAATCAGCAACAATTGCTTGGTTGGGCCAGTCCGTCCTTGCCCTTGAGCTCCACAGCATTCTTTTTGATAAGGCCTTGCTTGAGTGCGGCATTGCGTGAACGCCCTTTCAAAAACTCAACGTCACCGAGACGCTTGTAAGCTCAAGCTTGTCAGCCTGAGCTGCAGAACATGTGACTTGGCACGGAGGCTTCGCCATCACTCAGTTCATCCAAGCGGCTGCCAGCATGGTTAGCTCAACTCCCGAACGAGTTCCTGAAGTCCATGACGCTCAGCCTCGCCTACACACCATGGCTACAGAGGTTGCTGCAGGCAACCGCTTCAGAAGCTCGTGCTTGTGGCTGCACTGCTTGGCCTAGAAAAGGACTTCTGCCTGAGTAATCTCTACCGTGTTCGAGAGCAGTCGGGGAATGACATCGTGCAAAAGTAGCATGAGTTTAGAGTGAACATGCCTGAATTGATCCCAAAGCTGCATGTCAACTCTCAGCTGGTGCAAACGCGGCGTCATCTTGAGAAGACGTTTTCCAGCTGCGCAACTGGCTGATGTTTGGGACCGCCCTTGAGTACCATCATTGGCAGGTTCATACCATCATTGGCAGATTCACTGAGTCCCTGCTTGGTATGTCCTTGGCCGTCCGAAGCCATCACCTCGACGGATGCCCAATCTGAGAAGCACTTGCTCAGTATCCGAAGGCCTGGCTGCGGAGAAGAAGCATGGCTTTAAAGGCGTGCTTCAAACCCAGCTCTACAGTCTGGCTGCACCCCATCGGGCTCCGAAGGCCACCCCGCGCCTTGTAGTCCTCAGCGTAGAATTCCTGCTCTTGTTTCTTGGGCTGGCATGACTCCACAGAAACACGCTGTCAATGACAGCTCGTGCTCAGAACGATCTCAGGGAGGGCAGCAACACGAAGAGGACAAGATGCTGAAGACTCTTTACTGCACAATAAGACTGGCCGGCTTTGGTGAACCAGTGCAGCACGCAGCAGGCAGCTTCCTTGATCATGCGGATCGTCTCGTCTGTAGGCGTCACATCACAAGCCCCGCCTAAGATGCCGATTGGACGAAAGAGAAATGCTGAAACATCTGCAGAAACAACCAATCAACTCGACACCGGGTTCTTTCGTGCGGGCAAGCAGCTAGAGCGTGATTTGCCTTTCCCGAGTTTCACCTGGGCGGTTCTATGCACACAACATGATTTGGAGTTTGCACCCCGCCTTCTGAAGAGCATACTTCTCCATGATGGGTGGGAACTCTTGCTGTAAGTGCTCTAGCTTGATGATGTGGCGACAAATGCGGCCATTCGCCGGGTTACCTTGCAGGCGTGCATGACACACTGCCCTTCCAGGTTCAATGCCGTCTTTTGACGAATGGCCACCTTCATGCTGACAAGTCTAGACGGCCCTCAAGAGCGGAACGTAGCCTTGCAGAATGATTCAAGCCATGCGGGCAAGGGGCCTCCATGGAATGCATAGAAGACTTGCGGCACAAAGTGGCAATCTTCCAAGAGTACGTCGTGCTCCTTGGCACGCGTCAGCTTCTCCTGCGCTGGATGCATGCTTGTGCAGGGCACTCAGGGCTGTTTGTTCCCCCGTTGCAGGGGACCCAGTGATGCCAGGCAATTGTGCCAACCGAACTTTGTGGCTCACAGCGTTATCATTACACTGCCCTTCTGCTTATGGAGATTGTCTTGTGGGTTTGCAGGAAACTGCTTTCCATCCTTTGTGTACTTCTCCAGTGCTTCAGCGCTGCAT